CTCTGCATGCAGTTAGCCTCGCTCCATGCAGTTAGCCTCGCTCCATGCAGTTAGCCTCGCTCCATGCAGTTAGCCTCGCTCCATGCAGTTAGCCTAGCCTTGGAGCTAAACCAGGTCCTGGAAAAAAGACGTTTCTTGCGCCATTACTCCCTCTCTCTTTCCTCTCTCTCTCTCTAATGCGTCTCTTACTCCTGCAACTTGACCTGTCAATCACTCGCAAAACGTCTGCGCTGTGGTGGAAGATAAAGAGCAAATCCACTTCCTGTCACCTCAGGTCGTAGCTCAGCTGCGTCCTGAGCTCTCCTATCTTTCTGTATTGCAGAGGAGCTGCTGCGCATAAACAACTTTTAACGAGTCGATGGGTAAATATTTTTGCTCCGTAGGGCGGAAATACGTCACCAATTCGACTAAAAATGTAATGATGTTTTACTAGTCATTAAAGACTAAATATTTATCTTATACATCTAAAAAATACATATCAAAATATTTTGAAATATTTAAAATTACAATTTCAATTATAAAATTATACATACATTTTTTTATGTATGGGTGGGTGCGGCGGCGCCCTAGCGCCCCCTATTGGCCAGCCGCTGCTGCTCTGATCTCTACTGTAGGTCAAACCATCCACTGCATGCAGTGCAGGACTAGATGAGTGGATGAAACCCGACAGGTTCTGGAGCGAGAGGCCAGAAGAGGACGAATGGCTCTAATGAATTTAATCTAAAAAGGGACGAACTGAGGCTGTGTTTGCTGATCCTCTCAGGGATTCGGTCCCTCCACCTCCATCCATTAGCTTTATTTCTCTGTTTGCCTCTTGATGCCTCCCTGTCTGTCCCTCGTCTATAGTTAGACCTGCTGATGGGAAGAAAGGTGAATCTCCACCTTGTTTTACTAGAAGCTGCTTTCTGAAATGCTGCGCCCGTCTCTGCCCGGGAGTCACGGTCGCTGAGGATGCCGGGAATTTCTCAGGGGAACGGTTGCCATAGGAACGGGCACCTGTCAGTGTTGTGTTACCGCAGTGGGGAGGAGAGGGAGGGAGATAGTGGGAGGTCAAAGGGTCGCTGAATCCGATCCGAGCGGCCCTGGACGCTGCTGGCGGTAAGACGACTCCGGCTGCTCTCTGAAATCTCTCAGCAGGGTTTGGGTCTGAATCCTCTGAGAGGATCCGAGTTCTGCTTCCCTCAGAACTCCGGAGGATTCAGGAACCCCGCCCATTCCTTCACACATTCATCAGCTCAGCTGGCGCCCCCTAGGGAGGGCCCACTGTAATCACAGGATTAATAGAGTATTTTAAAAATACATAAAATCAAAGTAATGTTTAATTCTGTTAGAGTAAAATAATAGAATAGAATTCCACTTTATTGTCATTGTCACAAGCACAAAGCAACGAAATGTAGTTAACATCTATCCAGATGTGCTATACAGGATATAAATATTTATTTACGTGTGTAGAGAGACTGTATGGAATATAAATGGTTTATATAAACAGAGATTAACTGGAAGAAGATATAAAATAAATAAATTTGGAAGCTATATACAGATTATATAGGAAAGTTAGGATATGGATTATATATGTTAGCAGGGTTTTAATACATGATAAATAATGACAAATAAAAGCAGAAGGGAGTGGGGGGGGGGCACTGTGCTAAAGTATTCACACCCTAAACGGCTCAGTTTGTCCACAGACCTCCATATGGTTGCATGTTATGAATCAAAACTATATGGATAAAAGTAGAGAAAAAGGTGAAAAAAAGGATAATTATTTATACCTAAAACTGATACGTTTGCGGTGATTTCATGAATAAAAACAATAATTTTTGTCATGATCACTGAGTCTGGGAGCGGCCATTTTTGCCCAACTATAGTAGCCCCTCCCTCCTGCCATCTTCC